TTAAAAAGGTCTAATTTGAGAATTTGAGTGAATATCAGCCAATGTCCAGCACAAACTTTTACGAATAGCGCATATATCTTTGAGAGTATTTAGGGAGGGGGGGGGGGGGGGGGGGGGGGGGGGGGGGGGGGTAATACATTTGCCGCCAATTCCCATTTGCTTTAAATGAGCTGAAACGTCCATGAAATGTATATTATTATATACCTCATCGAATGCAGGGTGCACAAATTGTAGCAGCGGACATTAAAAAGGTCTAATTTGAGCGAATACTGGGCCATTTTCAAGAACAAAACTGAGCATAACGCATACTTCGTAGGTTAGGGTATGTGTGTATGTGTGTGTCTAGGAGGGGGATGACCCTCCAATAAAATATAAATTTTAATTCTAATGATAAACATAATTATAATGATAATAATAAGCAGAAGGGTAATATATTTCTAATTTTTGTTAATTTGGACCTTTCTTATGCTTTTTTCTTACTTTAATGTTGTGATTATTTTAAATTTTTTATATTTAATGGTTTAAAATAATCATTTTATCCATCTTAATTCTCAAAATAACAAATTGTTATCTCCTAAAATGTAAGGAGAAAAACAACGACTAGACCGAAAACTACTCCTATCCGTGTCTCCTTGCAGAGACTACGGTTAGCAGCTAAACGGAGTGCGTTCATATTGTTCAACACAGCGTCCGTATGCGATATCGATATCAGTTTGGCTGCTAAAAAAGGTCGCTAGCTTCCGCTTGGTGAAAAGTGAGATCGGTTTACGTTATATCTATATGTTAGACTTTTCAACGTTATTGCTACCGTGTATGTGACTATGTATTAAACTGGACAATCTATAAATCTGACATCTGCGAGAAAAAAAAATCACTCACGGGGTAAGTTTTGTATATATATCAAGTTTTCATCCATGTTACATACTATTATGTTTTTAACTGGAAAAAACTATACTAGTAGCACAAACGACAGCAGTAAATGTGTTCTGGTTATAGGTGAGTACAGGAAACTACATGCTTCATGTAGCATCCCGATGATTATTAAAGTATTGATATTCGAAAAACCACCACTATTCGGGTTGCGACAATTATTCTTATATATCATATTTAGTGTATATTTATGTTGCAATAACATGTTTACCAGAATAAAGTTTTTTGTCCCCTCCTCCCATCTTTTGGGGTTGTTCTCTTTGTCTGATTTTGAAACTGGAAAGATTATGCAGGCAAGCATACAATAATGTGCCCATAGGCCTATGTTTATTATGATTAGATGGTTTAGCGTCAGGGAAATGCATGGTCCTCTATTTTGTTTTCTTTGTTTCATTGAGTTAGTTTATTTATTTGTTTGTTTATTTTGATGATAATCCTTATTTGTCAAGTTTTTATTCCACTAAGTATTTTAAATTTTAAAATTTGATTTTGAATCCTTGATCGGGGGCAGGGGGGGGGGAGGGTCACTGCCGTATAGAATTTATAAAATATTAATTTAATTTTTTAGAAGAATACACAAGAGCTCATTTCATATCAGGAATATGACACGTGGCATTTCACCTGCTGACAGTAACGGACGATTACCCCCGTACATCTAACACGTCGACAACTACACCCTTTAGATTACCCCCTACCCACCGACCCCCAGAAATCTACCTAAGGGGTGATCAATAGGCGTATCTCTTGCTACGTCTACTCCTCTTCACTTCCAATGACTATATTGCACTGAAGCCTGCATTATATTTTGAACACCTTTCATCACGCAGATAAATGCCCTTTAAAACGACCCCCTAATCGTATCGCCTACTATGCCCAAGTTGCCATTTGTATTTCCTGTTAAATGTTTGTATTAACACAAAATAAAATATCTGAATATGTAGATGAAAACCACAACTAAGCTATGATTGTATCACTTGAGTTTACCGTCCAAAGTCCAAGGCCTTCTCGTATTATACGATACGGAGATACGCAGCTATTTCGAAAAAACTTTCATTTTGGAGTTAATTTTAAAGCTCTGTCATTACTATAATGTACACATCCTATGTCAGGTTTTATTTAATTATTTACTATTGAGTATATCTATATTCATCTATCTCATGTGTATTCAGTTATCAGTGTTTGTCATACCTCCTCCTCATAATACATATACTACTATACTACTACTACTACTACTACTACTACTACTACTACTACTACTACTACTACTGGGTCTAGTATTACTACTACCACTAACAACTGCTACTACTACAGCTACTACTACTACTACTACTGCTACTACTACTATTACTAACTACTGCTGCTACTGCTTATAATACTACTGCTAATGTTACTACTATATACTACTACTACTCCTGATACACTTCTACTACTACCAGTGGCGGATCCGAGGGGGGGGGGGGGGGGCTACTACGACTACTACTCCCCTACTACTACTACCACTACTGCTACTATTACGTCTACTACTCTCCTACTACTACTACCACTACTGCTACTATTACGACTACTACTC